CTGACAGATGGGAAACAGGTAGCCTATGGTAGGTGGGGCTCTCAGTTAAAGATGGACTGAGCAACCACATGAGGGTTCTGAGAAACAAAGCTAGAGCTGTAGTGGTTCTCAGGAGTCCATTGAGCGCTTCCTAGTGGAAGGCTTTAAAAATTAAAATATGTGAGGGTGTTGGGTTTTTCGTTGTTACCATGTTTTGTTAGGAAATTAACTTTTTAAACTGAAGTCCAAATAGCAATCCCTTTGTCACCAGATCTTTCCTTACTGTCCCATGAATGCTGAACACCAGGCTTCTTCCACTCCCTTCTCTCTGCAGGCCAAAAGGCCTGTGCTGGCTAGAATCTTCAACAAGTGAACAGCCCACAGGCACTCTGTCCCTGAAATCAAACATCCAATCTCCCATCTACGTTCTACTTACAGCTCATCTCTACGCAAGAGACCTAGGGCTTGTAAGGGTCTCCGGGCCAAAGTGGATGGTGACCTTATAGGAGCTTTTCCAAGCAATGGACAGGAGCATCCCATAGTGTGTCACTGGGACAAGACACAGTTAGAGAGTGAGTTCAAACTGCTGCCTCATAAAGCAGTTGTTAGGAATTTCTGTGTGGTATGTGATAAAACCAACCTGGGATGTGCCAGCCTCAGAAGGAAAATAGTGGCTGAGAAAAAAATAAATAGGACTTGATCTACAAAGATCATATCCACCTTGCTTATGCACATCACAACACTGTTAAGAGCAGGGTATAGACTTGAACTATTCTGAAGTGAGCTCAGGTTCACCCATAGCCAGACTTAGTTATGCCTCCCAGCCCTGGCTACCAGACTTGGGTCTTGTCTGTGTTTGAAGGTGGTGTGGAGAAATGTTTCTCTTGGAATGGTCCAAAGCACTACCTGTTTGCACCCACTGTGGTTTTTTGATGTAGTAAGTGACCTTAAGAGGTAACCCTCCAGGGTCATATATGGGAGACCATGGATGAGATGGGCAGGTTTCCCCTAAGGGTTCAACCTTGGCCTTAGAAGGACTGAGTAGGACCACCTTCTTGCTGCTGGCCATCCCTGTCATTGCCCAATGGACCCATGAACAAAGTGGCCATGGTAGCAGAGATAGAGGTTTTGCATGGGATTGACAACATGGACTTCACTCACCAAGGCTGACCTGGCTACAGCTGTTGATGAATGTCAGATTGTCGAACTGCAGAGACAAACACTGAACCCTGAGCCCCAGTATGGCACCATTTCCCAGGGTGACCAGAAAACAAGGCAGGTAGGACTACATGGGACCACTTCTTCATGGAAAGGATAATGCTTTGTCTTTACTGGAGTCGATACCTATTCTGCTTATGGATCTTCTTTCTTGCATGTAATGCTTCCGGCAGACCGATGGTACTTGAGGTGTCAGTAAACATCCCAAAGAACACTGGGGATACTCTTTGGAGGTCTTTGGCAGGCCCCTATAGGTGAATCACTGAGGACACCTTTGGGATTTTGGAGCAAGGCTATACCATCATCTTCAGATAAGTGTTCTACCTTTTAGAGAACATTGAGAATTCAGGAGGGCCTCTATAGAGGTCCTTCATGAGCCAACCCACGTAGTAAGCATGTCCATGACAGTCAGGCCATAGGAGCCCAAGAGGGCCTGGATCCCATCAGTGGAGTGGATTTGAATGTCTGCTTGAAGCTTATTTTCTTGGTGGTGAGATGATGAGGTTGGGGGAAGGTGGGGATAGTATAGGGGAATGGGAGTGGGGAGTGGGGTTGGAAAGTAGCTTCTTGGGGAACTCACTGGCATAGCTGTTAACCAGGTTTAATGAGTGTTAGCTACAGGGGGCCAAGAGTAGTTCCAGGTGATTGGAACACCTTCGCATGAGGTATTAGAGACTGGACCTATGAGGTTGAATGTGACCCCTCTGGATGGATGGCCCAGGGACCAGAAGTCTTGTCTGGCTCAGTGAGTGACTGGTTCAGGCAGCCATGTGAGGCAGCTGAACCTTTGGACTCACTGAGAAACTTTCCAAACTCCCTCTTCACTGCTAGGCCCTCTCAACGGGAAACACTATCCTTAGCCCTCGTTTTCTTTGGCTAATAGGCTGCTGTTGGCTGTTTCTGCTTGCCACAGGGTCTATTTCAGGAACAGGCATGTCTCCTGCACATGTACACAGTGGTGCCTGGCTGAATTGCAGGAAGGAATGATGGGCTAAGGCTCTAAATGGGCTCATGTAGGCTCTATCACCCCATTCACTGTATGCTTTGCCCAGTCTTCTCTTGGCCTCTTAAACTTGTGTGGTCTCTAGGGCACAGGACCTCACCCCAGCCAGGTTGTGTGTTTTCTAAGAGAGACCACAGAGGTAGAAGCTTTGGAGCTTGGTCACAGGCCATGTTTGAAGTCCTGGAGTCTGTGTGTGGCTTCCAATATTGCTTCCTAGGATTGTCCTGCATCAGGTCAGGCTAGTAGTAGGTGTGTCTGTTTGGCCCCAGGGAAGTAGTGACAAGCAGTTTGTTAGAGGCTCGAGTTGAACACTTGCTGTCTGTCTGCTTTTTTCTTATGTTCCTTTCACACTGACAAGTCGGCACCCCGTTCCATCCTCTGGTCTCCAGGCTTCTCTATTGGTATGGGCACTTTGGCCTCTGAATTGTAGAGTGCCCTGGTACTCTGTCAGGGTCCAGGAGTGTGCTGACACAAGTGTGGATTCTTTGCTTCCTTTCTGTGGAATAGTCAGAGTGGGGATTTGAGGAGCCAGTGTGAGGTCCTTGTGCTAGGGGTGGGGTTAAGGGGAAATGGATACTCTGGTCTAGCTGTGGCTATATGGTACCTCTCTAGTTTATTTGACCTTGACCCAAAGATGGTGTATATCCCACCCCACAGTGGTCAGGAAGGGCTTTGAGCCCCATGACTAATGGATATGGAGTACAAGCTCTTTTGTATAGCAGGTTCCTTTGCAACCTGAGATAGATGTCTGAATGGGTGATATGGGAGATAGATGGGTGGCAATAGGAGATAGATGGGTGGCAATCAGTCTGAGGAGTTAAAAGCTCTGACCCTCTTGGATGGCTCTTGACCAGAGCCCGCCCAGGCCTGCCAATGTAGGCAAGTCAATGCTGGCCAATAAACTGGAGCCTGCATTTTCACAACTGTTGCATCTCAAGTTACCCAGCTTCTTTAGGCCTTGCACTCTGCTGTGAGGAGTTTGCCCTAAAGCTTGCCATGGCCTCTCTGCATGTAACAGTGACAGCTTGTGACAGTGGCAGAGCTGGAAGCATATAGGGCTTATGAGACCCTGACTTAGGAAGATTTTGACTCCGTGCAGTGTGTGAGTTGTGCCTACTGAGAAACTACAATTAAGCAGATGAAGATAGTGGCCTCTGAGACAGGTGGATGTTTGAGATTAACCAGAAGAGCAAAACAGCAAGCAAATACAAACACAAGTAAGGACTCTCCATAACTAGAGTGGGGGTCCTTGGTGCCATCACTACGTCCCAAGGCTGGGTACTGCCATGACCTGCCTTAGGCTTTGGTCTCAGACTCTTCGTCCTGAAAGTCACAGCCACTGCTTGATTTCTTTTAAAATTCACTTGCTCTTCAGCGAATACCCCCAGAGCTAACAAGGCCTAACTAGGAGTGCCTTATGTGGCTATCTCAGAGCCCAGTAATTTAGTACATAAGCTGTCTGGGGCTTCATAGGGAAGAGGATGCATCAGAAGGCACTTGATAAGGGAGGCGGGCCTGGCTGGAGAATAGCCTTTTGTACTGTGCTGTGCCATGAGAGACTGCCTGGGAGTTTCTCTAAGCTTGAAATGTTCCTATGGACTGATGAATATTACCAATGTTTAGGGCAGTTGGGGTTAAATAGAGAAGTTTTGTGAGCTTTGTCAAGTTTGTGACAGCCCTCTCTCCACAGGATCACAGCCGCTTTGTCAACTGTGTGCGGTTCTCTCCTGATGGGAACAGGTTTGCCACAGCTAGTGCCGATGGCCAGGTAAGAACTGAGACAGAGAAGGGAAGTGCATGGTAGTGCTCCCTGTTCCCCACTTCCTAGGGTATCAAAGACTGCTTAAGGCTCCAACTGTCTAGCTATCATTGCAAGGGAAATGGTGGGCTAATGGCACATTACACCAGCTTCTACATAACTTGTTTGTTTCTTAAAGATATTCATTTATGATGGAAAGACAGGAGAGAAAGTGTGTGCTCTTGGAGGAAGCAAGGCTCATGACGGAGGAATTTATGCTGTGAGTATGAATATGTTACCAGATTTGCTGGTTTTAATTTGGCCAGTTCTATGTTGATAGAATGTAGTCATAGATTGTTTTGAATCTAGATGAATATTGATGTAAGCAGCTAAAGAGTTGAGCCATGGCACAGAGCTTTAAGGTCATAGTCAGGGTGGGAGCAGCCAATGGCTAAGCAGGAACCCTGGGGGCTGGGTCCATCCTACCACCTTCATGAGTTCCCTATTCTCTTGTCAAATGGTGGCTGTAGGCTGCTGCTTTGTGGGCTCTGAAACCCTCTGACATATGGCACTGTTTTGTTGAAATAGATTAGTTGGAGTCCCGATAGCACTCATTTGCTATCTGCCTCTGGAGATAAAACCTCTAAGATTTGGGATGTCAACGTGAACTCTGTGGTCAACACATTTCCCATGGGCTCCAGTGTCCTGGACCAGCAGCTGGGCTGCCTGTGGCAGAAGGACCACCTCCTCAGCATCTCCCTGTCTGGATATATCAACTATCTGGACAAGAACAACCCCAGCAAGCCCCTCTGGGTCATCAAGGTGAGCCTTGTTATAGGCATGGTGTGGATTGGGAACAGACTCCTGTGGTCTGCTCTGAAAAGGGGCAACAAGGATGGCCAAATGGAAGCTGAGATGTCAGGCTTGCTTGGTCTGCAAATTTCAGCAGAAGTCGGGTTGGTATTTCTGGTTAATAATTAGACACCAGAAGTATTTTGAGCAATGCTTGATTGGGGTCTGCATTGTTCTCTGAGTGGCTTGGCTTTCTTTTAGGACTTGTATTGTGCCTCAAAACTTCAAGACCAGACCAGGAACATCCTGAGTGTTAGGGCAGGATATAAATCATGGAGGATGAGGTGGGAGACCAAATGAACAAATGAGGGGAGGGGGCTTTCAGCCAGGAGTCGGCGGGCGTGGGGTTAGGGGGTGGCCTTGAGTCTGAATCATGGTGTAGCCAGATGGGGCAGGAACAGCCTCCAAGATCACCTTTGCCCTGTCTTCTGGAAGACCCCAGAGTCCTTAATGGCTAAGCTTTATGTTCTGAGAAGACACTACATGGGGCTGGGAGGTCAGGAGGCTCCTTTCTTCTGTATAATCTCACCTATAGAATGGGAACTATGACCCTGCGTATTTGGGTTTCTACAGCCAGGCTTCCATAGTTGGGTTGCTATTGCTGTGATGAAATACCATGACCCAAAAGCAAAATAGGGGGGAAAGGGTTTATTTGGTTTACACTTCATATCTGTCCATCATGGAGGAGTCAGGATAGGAACTCACACAGGACAGGAACCTGGAGGCAGGAGCTGAAGGAGAGGCTGCTTTTATGTTTTTCTCTGCCTGCTTTGTTATAGAACCCATGACCACCAGCCCAGGATAATACCACCCATAATGGGCTGGGCCCTCCCCCATTAATCAATCACTTACTAAGAAAATGCCCTACAGGGTGTCCTATAGCCTAGTCTTACTTAGAGAGGCATTTTCTTAATTGAAGTTCTGTTTTCGGATGACTTTTGTTTGTATTGAGTTGGTATAAAACTATCCAGCATACAATCTTCCTGCCTCCTCCTAGCCCCCATCCTGGTTGCTGATAATTTCCAGAATTTACATTTTAAACTTTTCAGTAAAAACCCCAGCCCAGCTCTTCTCTCACCAGTGCAGCCTGGTATTCAAAGTACCCAAATATGCAGGGTCATAGTCCCCATTCTATAGGTGAGATTGTACAGAAGAAAGGGGCCTCCTTACCTCCCAGCCCCATGTAGTGACTTCTCAGAACAAGGTAACGTGGCACTGGCCCCTGGGGACAGAATTGGGAGCCCCTCTATTGTTAGGTCCCAGACCAGGGTTGGATGTGTGACAGAACATGGGTACACCTCTGCAGGTGGGAAGTTGTGCATGGGGAAGACAGAGTTTCCCAGAAATAGGCACTTCTGTGTTGTGGCTCCAGTTCAATGAGAAATTTTGAGACTTAAGTTTTCAGAGAAACCTATATCTTATCCTCTTTGCACAGCTGTCTGGATCCTGGCAGCTGGCAGCTGGCAGCTGGCAAGCTGGCATTCAGCCTGCAGAGAGCATGAGCTGTACCAGTGAACCAGAAGTTTGAGACTGGAATGTGATTCTTAACCTGGCTACATGGCTACCTTACCTGGGAGCTTTATGGCAAAGGGTTTCCTGACTGTCCAAAGGGCCTCCCCAGGATCTCTCTGGAGCTGGCCTAGTGGTGCTTTCTCAAGCCTATTCCTCAAAATAGAGGGTGTGTGAGAACCACCCAAAACAATTAGCTTGTTCAACCACCTGGTCTCTGAGAGGTGTGCCGAGTGCCTAAATCTTAAATCTCTCAAGCAAGACTGTTGCCAGAGGCCACCAGGAAGCACACAGGTCCCCCTGGAATCTTGATGAGCTTAGGTTTTTATGCAACAGGCCAGGCAGTCTGCTGCACTTGGGTGAGGCCTGTGGTGCACTAAACAGAGCACAACCTGGGCTCATATCTCTTAAGTTATACAATGCATTCTCAAGGGCTGTCTCTGTTATCTGAGGGTAAATGCCATATTGTGGTAACAAAGGAGACCCACGGGGGATCCCTGAAACAAGATGTAAGGAGGAAGCCCCAGGCATGAAGCAGACCAGCAAGCTATCAAGTGTTGCTGGAAAATAGCAGAGGCTAGAGGGGACTCGGGAAGGGTGAGGTTAGAGCACACTTGCTATCTGAACCCATTACAGAGGTGAAAGGTGCTCTCTAGAGAAACCTGTGTATACAAGGTCACCTGCTTCATCAGTTTTGAAGGAAGGGGTACTAGGAAAAATACTAAGGAGGACCTGAGCCAAAGTGGTCACACCTAGAGCACCAGGGCCTCCTATCCTGGCTGTCTCACTCCCTGTGAGAGACCCAGCTGATGTGCTCATGGGTGGCAGCAGGGGCAGCATTTCCTTCTCTAAGTGGCTTAGGTCCCTGAGTGCAAGGCTTTGGTGTAGACCTTGTCCTAGTCCAAGTACGTTTTGGGTATTGAGGGAATAATGATGGTTTGTCAGATCAGCTGACTGGGAGATGGATGACTGACTTTGGCTCGTAACTTATTTGTGGGCAGTATGTTTGCTGGGGTGCCAGCACAGTCCAGCTAATGATTGGCAGAGTGTAGGATGTGCTACCTTGGCTCACCCCATCCCATTGTCTCCCTCTCAGGGTCACAGTAAATCCATCCAGTGTCTGACAGTGCACAGAAATGGTGGCAAGTCCTACATCTATTCCGGAAGCCACGATGGACATATCAATATCCTTTGACTGGAGAGCTGACACAGACACTGGCAAGAGAGAGGACTTTTCCATTCCCATGGTGCTACAGGCTAGTCCAGCCAGATGGCACCACTCCCAGCTGTACTTACTAAGCAGGCTGACCTCTGGTACCTTTGTCGGCACTTGGTGCTGTGACCTGTCCAGGCTTTAGGCAGAAGAAAGCCCTGGACCCTGCTTACTGCTCAGCCTAGCTTGGTGCTTAAGGTCTCTGCTCTTGAACTCCCCTTAGCAGAGGGACTTTGTTTTAAACATGAGGAAACTGAAGCCCTCAGAGGCAAGGTGCCTTTCCTAAATAAAACTACATGACCTGTCAACAACAGAGTTGGGGCCAGAACTCAGGAGGGAGTGGGTTCTCTGTATTCTTTGCCCCCAGTTAGTTATGCTTTTTTAGGTGTATAACCATTAGTGCATGCCTATCATGCTTGTGCTCTGTTGCCTGTTTTGTGCACTGACTATGAGGCTTCCTTTGCATGATGTCCTCTTACCCACATGTTGCTGGCTTCCTGGAGGAGGTTGTCCCAGTACCTCACAGCATGCCTCCCAAACTGACTTTGTCTCAGGTTTTCACAAGACTCAGGAAGATTTCCCATCCTAGAAAGGGTGGATAACACACCCTCTGCCACTAGGCAAGGAAAAGTGTCAGCTGATGGCTAAGCAGCCCCTAGGTGAGTATGTCCTGTGATTGTAACCAGGGCCATCAGCACTACCTGTGTGCCTTAACCCACTACCCACTGTGTACTCACTTTTGAGCTGTGTCCTTTAGATTCTGCATCTGGATTTTCATGCCTACAGCTTGTGTATATTAGTCTCACACGGAACAGTGATGGTCACTTGAACTGAGAGTGTCTTTTGTTGTGCACTTCAATCACATCTTCTAATCCCTCAACACCCCAGGCTCAGTATCAATACATCATCCCTGGAAGGTAGACCTCCCCCACCCTCAGGCTGGTAGTACCCAGTAGCACCTGGGCAGTAGTTATGTGAGCATTGAGGCATAGCCAGCTTACCTGGGGGTGGTTGTAGCCTCAGCTGCTGATTCAGGAAAGATAAAATGAGCATTTGGCTCACATGCAGTGACATATGAGCCATGGTGCGCTCTTGTCAGATCAGGAGCCCACCTCAAAAAGGCTGTTCCCGAGTAGTTGGTGATGCTACAGTTAGAGAACCCCAATCTGAAACTGTTGTGGCCAAAACTGTTTTGTCCTTGTTCTTGTTTTCAGAGTCTGTAGTGTGTGTGTGTGTGTGTGTGTGTGTGTGTGTGTGTGTGTGTGTGTGTTAGAAAGTTAGATTTTGGGCTGTTACACATTAGGTGTGTCAGCTGTCTTGGCCATCATAGACAAGTCTGCCTGTGTCCAACACATTGGCTTTACATGCATTCTTAAAAGAAATCTGTGCTATTTATTGCCTAGGTCCTTTGGCTAGTATCCAGGCTGCCCCAGTAGCTCACACTGCCTTAGTTCTCTGAAATTCCAAGCTTGGCCATCTGTGAGAATACCTCCTGTCCTTTCTGTGGTAGCTTCTGCCTGCATGAAGGGCAGCCACGCCTCTCCAGAGCAGTAGATATCACCATCCTAAGGTCTGGTTTCTCCTTAACCCTATTCCACATTACTGGGATTCCGAAACAGGAGAGAATGACTCCTTCTCTGGAAAAGGCCACACAAATCAGGTGTCCAGGATGACGGTGAATGAGTCTGGGCAGTTGGTCAGCTGCAGCATGGATGACACTGTGCGGTACACCAACCTCACACTGAGGGACTATAGGTATGTCCTGCCCGAGGAAGCCAGCCATTGCTCTAGAGAGGTCCAGAATGAGCCACAGGTGCCTGTAAGGTTCCAGGTCAAGTGGTTCCTATCTACCCTTTTGTTTGTTTCTGAACATCATTCAGGTACTAAGCCTAGGGGCTAGATAGGCTGGCTGCTCCTGGTTGTTGGCTCAGAAGCAGACCCACTGACCTTAATGATATCTCCCTACCCCCACCCTGTAGAGCACTTCTAGGTAGACTCCATCATGGTCTTTTATGACTAACATCTTGCTAGTAATGTGTCTGACCAGGAGAAGGATGGGTTGGGGGGCTTACACTCCCCCACCCCACCCCAGGTATATGCCTAGCTGGCAACAAACCTACCAATGTGCGCTGCTGTGTGTTCTGACTAGTGGCCCCTGGCATCTGAGAATGAAGGCACCCCAGAACCCAGGGTTCTCAGCTGTCTGCTTCCTATTGCCTTGTGACATCACTCATGAAAGTCATCCTGTTGGCAACCCATGGCCATGGCTGCAAGGTTCAAGACCTGGGCACTCTGGAGGCCAACCATGGCTTGGCTCAGTTCTGTGGAAGCTTGCTAGTTAAATGTTTTCAAGAAAGATGGCTATAACTTATTCTAGATGTAGCATTCATCTAATATAAGAGGGAACTGGGGTCTTCATTAAAGGTTTCGGTGTCCTAGTTCCCCTCTGGAGAAGAGCAGCTATGACTCACAGAAGGAGCAGAACTCAGTTCCATACCTACCTAGAAAATTGCAGTCTTGGGCCTCCAGATGGTTGGGAATAATATGTCTGTATTTTGCACAGCGGGCAGGAAGAGTCTGCACAACTTCCTCTAACTGCTTGTTGCTGACACCTTTTCCTCACTCTAGTCTCCCTTTGTGATAAAAAGACCTCAGTGCCCTATTTTGTCACTTCAGATTTTAGCAAGTTGTCCTTCAGCAGAGATTACAGTAAGATATTTTTCACATAGTTAAGTGGTGCAGTTTTTGCAGTGCGTATATGGATATCACACCAAGCCATCTGAATGTGGAAGTAACCTGCCCTCCCTCCTCCCCAACAGTGGACAAGGAGTTGTGAAACTGGATGTTCAACCAAAGTGTGTAGCTGTTGGTCCTGGGGGATATACTGTGGTCGTGTGCATTGGACAGGTATGGTTGGCTCCATTTTGACCAGAAGTGGTGAGATACGAGATGTAGAGTTACTGTCTAGTTTCTGAATTCCACCCATTCCCATGTTCTGATTTCCTTTTCCGATGCTGTGATGAAACATAGACCAAACTAACTTGGGGAGGACAGGGTTTATTTGACTTTAAGTCTGATCAGAGGCCATCATTGAGAACCAGCAGAGCAGGAAGTATGAAGGAATGCTGCTTACTGGTGTCCCACAGGCTTATCCTCAGCTAGCTTCCTTACTTCCTGCCTAGGGATGGTACCTCCCACAATGTATTGGCCCCTCCTTGTGTCAATTAGTAGTCAAGACAGTGCTTCATAGGCCTATCTAATTAAAGCAATTCTTCAATTCCCTCTTCCAGGTGACTCTAGGTTGTGTCATGACAAGTACCTGCAGCCAGTGTTTTGTGCTGCAGGCTCATTTGGTTTGCCCATGCATGGACTCACTGTGCTACTAGTTAGGGCCTGTTAGGCAAAGTGCTGCCCCCTAAATCGAGACACAGGAAGAGGGCAAAGCTGGGCTTTAAGAATGAGACTGACGTGTAGAGCCATCGGTCCATGATATCTTAGGCACTCAGCCATTCTTTGGATCTCTGCCCTTACCTACTGAAGCTCACCCACTTAGCTCTGTGTAATTCCTAACAGAAGCACGGGGTGGTCATGAAAATAACAGTTGTCATACTCGATGTACAGCTTAGCTTTGAGGGACACTGCCACATGAAAATCAGGTAGATCCCAGGCCATGCTAAATTCTAACTCTCTGCAGTCCCTGCCTATCTTTTCCTCTAGAGTGTCTAGAACAGAACCCTTGGCTCACATCTGTGTCTGACCTACTTTGTGCAGAATTCTGCTTCACAACATGTCATCTCTGCAAACCCAGGCATCCCATCATGTGGTCTGAGCCAGCAACTGACTAGTGCTTTCTATTGGCTTGAGTGACAGACCCTGCTGAAGAAAGGGCCATTGAGGATCTATCCACCCCTCCCTGGTTTGTGAAGCTGATTGCTAAAGGGAGAGTGGATTCTGTGTCCTAGATAATCACATGCCACTGCCAAATAATTACTGCACTCAGTCTGGGCAGCCACAGGCACAAAAAGGAATGTGCTGCGTGGGGTGTCCTGGGCAGCTGCTGCTCCATGGCAGATCTGACAGCCCTGTGTCAGCACCTGGCCCTGGTGAACAGTGCATGAGGACTTAGGGCCTTTTCTGCAGCAAGGCCTCAGACAGACATCTCCTTGTCCCAGGCCCCAGTTACCTCATCTGAAATCACAGTGGCCATAGGCTGACCCCGTCTTTGCGGCTGATCAGAATTAGTCAAGGTGGGTGAAAGTAGGGATTCAAACTGCCTGCCATTCAGAAGGTGGTGGCAATTTCCTTCACGGTCTTAGAAGACTGAGGGTACCATCTCCCAATAGAAGGGCTCTTCTCTGTGTACATGTGAGTACACCATGTTAGCTGCTGCTAACAAGCCCAGGTCCTTGTGTGACCTTGACCCCTAACCAGCCCGTAACTTAGTCAATATCAGGCTGCCACATGTCTCTGAAGTCCTGACAGCAAACATATTGAAGTATCTGCTTCTTAGGCAAGCATGACTGGCCCCAACTTGGAGAGTGTGGTGTAGCCTTCTCCCACACAGTCTTCTGTCTTTCTTAGAGCAGGTAGGATGTGAGGATTTTCTTAGAGCAGGTAGGATGTGAGGATTCTCTCAGAACAGTCCATTTGCAACACCTCCCCCCATCCCTGCTATGCTGTGCTGCTGAGCTGCTCCTATTTCCTGGATCTGGGGTGCACAGTTGTTCCCACAGAGCTCCACTGCTGCCCTAAAGGACTGGACAGACACTCAGTGCTCAGTGTCCAATAACCTTTGTCATGGATAACACACTATCCTCCAGGCTAAACAGAAACCTGCACTATACAGGCATTAGCTGTTTCTTGTGACCTAGGATCTAGAATCCTCAGAATCAGGCCACTGCCCCTGATGGTTAACCCAAGTCCCTTCCTGATACTTCTGCCCTTTGCCCTTTAGAGATCAGCACCTGACATGCTTGTGATAGAACATTTTCTCAATTCTGGCCTGCGACTAACAGTACCATGGTCCTTTTGTTGAGGAAGGAAAAGTCTCCATCAAAAGATTGAGACTGATGCAGGTGTGCCTTAGAGTCCAGAGCCCCTAAGCAGAATCCACCTTTCCTGCTGATGAGCAGTGTTGTCTTAAGGGGCCACTGATCTGACTACATCTTCCCTGTCACAGATTGTCCTCCTGAAGGACCAGAAAAAGTGCTTCAGTATCTACAACCCTGGCTATGAGCCCGAAGTCGTGGCCGTGCACCCTGGTGGGGACATGGTGGCTGTTGGGGGCTCGGTAAGACCCTTTATTTTGTGACCTTGGAGCCTGGAGAAGGCCAAGGTCTTGAGTGTATGCTGGAATCCCAAAGATAGGCTCCAATGGTAGTGAAAGGATGAACTTGCCAGTGAGATCAAGAACAAGCAGATAGAGAGCAAGCTTGCTTCTTCCATGGCCTTTATATAGGCGAGCAGCAGATGTAGCCCAGATTAAGGTGCATCATTTAATCCTGACTCAAAAGATCTGGATTAAAAGTGCTTCTTCCCACTTTTTGGATCCTTTAAATAAGGAAAAATAATCCTCACAGATGTACCTAGCCACTTAGGTTTCCGTTAATTCCGGATGTAGTCTACCAGCAAGAATGGCTATTAACTCAAGGTGTACCTGGCACATGGTGACAGGAAGCATGCTGGAGCAGATATATGTACCTTGCCAGACACAACTGGCGCCCCAGAGGTTGGGAAGCTATTTGTGCCGTTTTCTTCAGGTTGACCTTTCAGGGAGCCATGAGCACTATTTTAGGGGGTCTCCTTGGCAGCCAGCCAATACAGAATGAGACTGGGGAGGCTTGGGGTCCAGACATTTCTGCCCAGGTAAGGAGGAAGCTGAGATTAAAAATGTAAGGAGTAGGTGAGGAGGAAGCAGCTGTTTCTTGGCAGCCAGAGCCCCAGGCATGGACTGGTGCCTACAGAACCATGGCAGAGCAAACCCTGACCTTCCCCTATGACAGGGCACATGGTGTGTATGTT